CCCCCACACACGGCACCCCCACCTCGCACGCCCCCCACCGCCGAGAAGGCCCGACACTGTGCCCGCGACACTCACCGCCCGCTTTCCCGGTGCCCACAATTTGAATGGGCGCTCCGCCTTCTGATTGGCTACTGGAAGCCGCGTTCTGATTGGCTGCTGGGCGTCGCGTTCTGATAGCGGCTACGGCCGTGTCGTCGCCGCCTTCTAATTGGCTGCACGGTGTGGCATTCGGATTGGCTGCTGGGCGCCGCACTACGATTTGCGCGCTGACGTCGCGCCGGTCCCGCCTCCTGATTGGCTGCTGGACGTCGCGTCGGCGCCACGCCTTAGCTCCGCCTTCTGATTGGCTACTGGAAACCGCGTTCTGATTGGCTGCTGGGCGTCGCGTTCTGATTAGCGGCTGCGGCCGCGTCGGCGCCGCCTTCTAATTGGCTGCAGGGTGTGGCATTCGGATTGGCTGCTGGGTGCCGCACTACGATTTGCGCGCTGACGTCGCGTCGGCCCCGCCTTCTGATTGGCTGCTGGACGTCGCGTCGGCGCCACGCCTTGGCTTCCTCCCGCCCCTCCCGGAAGCGCCGATGGCTGGGTCTCGGGGAATCGGAACGCTAGACCCTGGGGCAGTGACACTCGTCCTTCAGGGTAAGCGCGGAGTCCGTCCACCGTCAAAGTGGCTGTTTGTCCCCGATTGGTCATCGCTGCGCTTTTCTAGTGTTTCGGAGGCAGAGCGCGGCGATCGGAACGGACTGAATGTTTTACCTTGAGTTTGTTTCGCTTAATTCTGAAAACCCCCAACTGGGACAGGTCTCCAAGCCCAGCGAGGAGGGAACGCCAGATGCTCCCACGCGGGCTGTGGACCCGAGCAGCGGGCAGCTCAGAGCTCTGTGCCCGCATCGCATTCAGGCCCCGCTGCCGGGACCGCAGCTGTGCACGATGCCCGCGTTTCCAAACCTGCTCCGAACTGGACTCCTCCGAGTAGGAGTTCCTTGAAGGACTGATCAACCCTGCATGGGGCGCCCGGCCGGTGTGGCTCAGTGGCTTGAGCATGGACCTATGAGCCAGGAGGTCACGGTTCGATTCGGGGGTTGTGGGCTCCATCCCCAGTGTGGGGCGTGCAGGAGGCAGCCGATCCATGATCCTCTCTCATCATAGATGTTTCTATCTCTCTCTCCCTCTCCTTCCTCTTTGAAATCAATAAAAATATTTAAACAAAACAAAACAAAAACCTACGTATCACTAAAATCACTTTACCTCTCTGAGCCTTGGTTTCTGTGCTTGTAATATGAGATAAAACATCAACGATTGCTGGAAAATTCAAGTTAGAGAATACTTTGGAAATGGTTTTTAAAATGTGACTGGTTACTGTCAATATAATTGACACATGTTTTCACTGTATACAGTACAGGCAACTGTCAAGTATTTGTGAGAGTTGCGGTAGCCGATGTGTATGAAAGTGCGAGCATGTTGCATGAGACGGGACTCCATAAATGAACGATCTCAGAAACCAACTGCATCTGCAGTCGGCTAGGAATCCTACGGATAATTTTCCCTTAGTTTCCGATCTCATTCACCACCAGATGCCCACTCCCCTTTGGTTGAGCCCCTCCCTAGCTCTGGCCTCGGAGAAACAGGCCCCACACCTGCATTCTGGCCTCAGCTTCCCCCTTCCCGGGGACCTTCCTCCATCAAAATATTCCTCTTCCCTCTTCACTGTCCCAAATAATCCAGTTATTCTGAAAATAAAAGCACGTCTTTTTTTAAAAATCCACCAGAGGGAGACAAACTGAAAGAAAACACATGAAAGGAGGTCAGAGGAGGCCTGGCTGGTCTGGCTCAGTGGTTGAGCATCAACCTATGAACCAGGAGGTCACAGTTCAATTCCTGGTTGAGGCACATGCCCTGGGTGTGGGCTCCATCCCCGGTGGGAAGTGGGGGTAGCATGCAGGAGGCAGCCGATCCATGATTCTCCCTCATCATTGGTGTTTCTCTCTCCCTCTCCCTTCCTCTCTGAAATCAATAAAAATAATTTTTTTAAAGAAGTGATGCAAGCCCATTGGAAGCCTTTTAGATTAGGTTAAGGTTCACAGAAAAACCTCCACTCGGGCCAGTTAACAGTCCCTGGGGACAGAGATTTATTATAAATTACTCAATGTCATAGTTTTTAAATCGTTAAAACGTGGGCTGTATCATCCTGCTTTGTAGGAGTTTGTGTTGCGTTGCATTTTTTACTGCCGTGTCTTTGGTTCGAGCCACTGCCCTGGGCAGCCGCCTCGACAAGAGACTCCTCTGGTTCTCAAATTCCTGCAAGAGTTAAGCACAAAGGCCGTTTTAAATTGGGCAGATCTTGTGTTTTCTTTCTAAATTCGAACACGTGTTGGGCCAGGAGCCTTGGGAGTATGGGCGCCTGCACGTTGCGGTCTGATCAGCTGATGAAATCTTTAAGAATTTCATCGTGACCACTCGGTGATGCAACCTAAATCCATTGAGCAAGTCTGCCCGTCATTTGAACAGAGGCCGTCCCAGGAACCTCGTAATCCCTTTTTAATATAGAAAGAGGAGAGCTCGGGGATTAGTACCTGTTCCAGACGCTCTTTCCTCTTTGAATCACGCTGGGTTCATTCCAGAGAAGATTAGGAGGAGTCAAAAAACCATTGTCAGCCCCAGGGCCTACTGGGTAACCTATTTATACATCAAGGAAGCTCTAGGGTTCAGTGAGGATGGAGAGAACCGTCCCCCGGGGTTCTGAGCAAGCCCTGAGACCCTCATCATGACAGGAACAGGACCCATCACCTCTCTGCTCCAGGAGATCCCACCCGGCCGGTGTGGCTCAGTGGTTTAGCTTCAACCTATGAACCAGGAGGTCACGGTTTGATTCCCGCTCAGGGCACATGCCCGGGTTGCGGGCTCCATCCCCAGTGGGGGGCGTGCAGGAGGCAGCCGGTCAGGATTCCCTCTCATCATTGATGTTTCTATCTTCCTCTCTGAAATCAACCCTATATCATAAAAGCCCAGCGACCATAACGGCGTAACGACCAGATCGACCAGTCACTATGAGGCGCATTGACCACCTCTCGGTCCCTCCCCCCATCCTGCAGGCTCCGATCGCTGTATGGCCAACGGGGAGCCACAGGGAACCGGGATGGGTGGTGGCGGGGCGGGACTGGGGACTGGCGAGTGGACAGAAGATGGCCCTGATCCCAGGCTGGGCCGAGGGACCCTACCTGTGCATGATTTCGTGCACCAGGCCTCTAGTACAAATATATTTTAAACAAAAAAAGAGTGGTCGTTGTGGCCAAGCCCCAGGCCCTCTCCTCCCCCGCATGGTCAGCGG